TTATTAACTGAAAGTAAGAGAGGAGTTCTGACTGTCTTTGTTTTTTTTTTCCTTGGTTCGACTTTTCCTTGTCTAAAAATACCACTCGGCAGCGCTTGAATCGTTGGCTTTTAAGTGTTTTTGGCTTCCTCCTGCTCCTTGCCTTCTTTTTTTCTATTCTGTAGTATGAGAATCGAAAGCGCGATGTATTAGGCGAAGAATCTGTGGTTGCTAGTGAATTATAAAGCAGAAACGTCCAATCTCCGTATACATCTTGTTGCTGTTACATTAATTTTCTTTTTCTGTTAATCATGAAGCTCGTTGATGATTTGTTATTATAATCCATGGTTCCAGAAAGAAAGAGGATGACAAAAATAAATAAAAAGAAAAATTTTGCATTAAAGGGCAAAGACTTTTTGCTGTGGAAACCACAGGCATTGACACAAGTTCGAATTTTGGTTTCTTTCTTTTTCCTCTTCTTCTTCTCCTTCTTCTCCTTCATTATCATATCATCATCATCATCATCATCATCATCATCATCATCAGCATCATCATCATCATCATCATCATCATCATCATCATCATCTTCTTCTTCTTCTGCATCTTCAGTTTCTTTGCTTCCTTCATCACGATGAAGTCAGTCCAGAAGCTAAAAAAGGTTTCTTTATTATTGCTTTTTCAGCCCTTTTTCTTCACTAAACTTTAGAACCTGTGGTTTTGGTAAGATTGATTTTAAACTGTTGCGCTATACGTTTTATCGTCTCGTTAGATTTGTTTTTGACAAGAAAAAAAAGAAGCACCTAGAAATCTACTGGAGTTATCATTGTTTAGTAAACTGATGATGAACAGATATGTTGGTTGTCAGTGATCAGTTTTTGTTAAAAACTTAGGATTTGCATCGTTGAAATATGAAAAATGGATAGCAGTTACTGACTGACTTATTTTTTCGCAAAAACTGTTCACGGTTATAAACGAACTGGTAGATCTATTTGAAATGTATCATCCAAACTTTGACGTATACTATGCAGTAATTTAGCTGTTCAAGTTTGGCCTGTATTGTCGTTGTTTTCTATAACAATTAGTTGCAGCTACTTCTTTCATCCTTTTCGTTTGTTCATTTTCGATAAGCGTTTAAGAAAAAGAATTGGAATAGGCAACTTGTTTTTTTTTTTTTTTTCATTATTCAGTGAGTAACAGTTTTTATTTAGAGGAAAGATACGCCGCTTGAATTTTTTTTTTCGGTAACGTATGTGAGGAATGTCTTCAACGGAAGATAGTGATTCGTCATCTGTCCACAGTCGAAGTTCATCATCCAGAAACGATAAGAGCGGCAAGAAGGAGCTCAAAAATGGTCAATCTTCATCGTATCGTTGTTGTTTTGATTGTTTATTGTTGTTGATCATCCAAATCACTTGTAAAGTACAGTGTTCTTTGATTAGTCGATAAAAACAAACGGGGAACGGGAACATTTGAAATTTAGGTGGTTGAATTCAGCATTGAATTCTCTACGATCGTAACCGGTCTTCAGCATACCTGTTACATAAGTTTGAAGTTGTATAGTCACTAAAGTTTAGTATCATTTTGGATGAAGTCTTGAATAGCTTCTGCGCAGAGGTGTTTTTAAACTTATTGATTATTACTCTGATATTGGAGCTTGAAATCTTTGCATCTGGTTATTTTTCACGTGAAAGTTATATTTTGATTAAACCTGACCGACATTCATTCTTCGTCTTGCAAGTTCATAAAAATTGTAACATTTCTGGTAAAACACTAATTTAATATACTATAGTAGTCTCCTCGAAACTTTTTAGCTAATACAGTGAAAATTTAATGCATTGAAACAAGCTGAGGATCCTTTGTCCGCGTTTTTAACAATATTATCGTTGTTAGTTTAATTATTATTATCACTTTCAGTTAACTTAGTTTTGTGACCTTGTAAGGGGCAATCAAATTGTCTTTTTTAGATAATGATGAGGAAGAGCATGAAGAGGATGAAGGTGATGATGATAATAAAAGCGATGCAACCAAGGAAGAAAGTACAGATGCTGAAGAGAATCGTTCTTCTGGTAGCCCCTTTTCTTCTTTAGTTTACCAATAGGGTCTCAAATTTTTTGACTTGAAATTGTTTCATTTTTTTTTATTGTTTGAGAAATTTAATTTTTTTCTCAGATAATGACGATAGCCAATACCAAAGTGAAGAAAGTCAGACAACAAGCAACGATAGCGAAAGGGAAGCTGTGAGAGTTAAAAGGAGACGGTGTGGTGGCATGTCTGACGAAACAAGAAAGGTAGACACTTGTGATATGTTATTAGCTTGAACCGGAACAATACGATAGAGGGTTTTCTATTAAAAATGATCTTCAATTGGTTGTCAGAATCTCGTGATTATAGCTACGTGAAAAATCAAGCTTTTTGAAAGAATGTTGTTTTTTTTAGTTTCTTGAAGATGAAAAGATTTTACGGCGCTCAACTCGCACTCGGAAGGATGTCAACAGAAAAATCGAAAGTGATACCGATAATACCCCACCAAGGAAACGGCGAAAGAAGAGGAAGTAAAGATTATGTTCAATTTTTTTTTTCTACCGATTTACAATTCCAGAGCGCGAGCCCTCGAAAAATGATTCCATGGTAGCACCCTCGTTTCAAAAAATTTTTTCAGATATGTGGGAGTTTTTACCAGTCATTTCATCGATATTTAATTTTAACTAGAAATGCATATACTGGTAATACCTACGTCTTCACTTAATCACATTATTAAGCATATCAGAGTCTGATATTTCGAGCGATGATGATTCTGATTCATCTGAGTATGAGTCGTATCGGAGTACAAGGCGTTCTAATCCCGGAAGGCGTCGTAAGACGAGAAGAGGTTCTGGAGGTGAAGATGAGCGCTCTTCAAGGCGTAACAATAATGCTGGGCGTATTAATTATAGGGATCCTAGCTCTGGAGAGGAGGTAGGTTGGAAACGGTTTTGCATGTCTTTTACTTTGTTCTTTGTTTTAAATCATTCTAATTTTTTAAGCATCATGTTGGGCAAATTATGTTTTTTTTTTGTTTTTTTTTTTTTGATTTTAACCTGGCTTAGAGCAGTCAGATATCTAGATCAATTCTGATGATGTGTTACAATGGGAAGAAGGGGATGCTAGCAATGCAGCTGTGTCAGATCAGATACCAGCGGGGACTGAAACTATTGAAAAGGTTCTCAGGCACAGAGCTGGTTATCCAGGTGCAACAGGTTCTATTACGACATGCTATAACGTAGAAGACAAAGGGGATCCTAACGAGAAAGCTGCCTGTGTGTATTGTCCTTTTTAACATCCCAACAACTTCAGATGGTGTCTTATGCCACTCTTTTTTATTTAGACATTTTTTGTGGCAGTGAAGCTTTCTAAAATTTTTTTATTAAATAGTGGTCGTGGTTATGCTTGAAGCTGAAGCATTGTCTTTCAGCTGAGCAACCTGGGAATCTTGAAAGGCAATATCTAATCAAGTGGGCTGGATGGTCACACCTTCACAACACGTGGGAGTCAGAAAGTAGTTTACAAGCTGTTAATGCTAAAGGGATGAAGAAAATAGACAATTATTTGAAACGATTACGGGAAATAGAGGAATGGTGCGTTTATAATTCCCCTTCACCGTCTAATTTCCTCTCTCAAAGCATCGTAATCTTTCGCCTGCAGAATGAAATTTTGGACTTTGGTATAGTTTCTTAACTGCAGATACATGATTTTGGTAAAAATCCTCGTTGATTCGAGCCCCTGTTAATGGTGGTGTTTTTTAATTGTAAAAATCAGAAAGAAGTTCATTTTATTGACGAATCATTTTACTGGTTTTATCGCTTTCGTTCCCGTATCAGTTTAGTGTAGTCTGTGCTGAGATCTTTTGGAAAAACTAATTTTTACTGTAATTTATAATTTATTTTTACTTTTTTTTATCTTGCCTTTTGTCTCCCTATGCACATGACCAGAAATCGCTTCTTATATACTGTTTTCAACATGTAGAAATTTGCCGAAATTTTTCAACTTCAAATTCTTGCCAAAATTTTTTTTTTGATTTTGGAGGATTTCAGGAAGCGAACTGCAGATAAAGAATATATAGAATTTCTTGACTGTGAACAGGAAATGAACGAGGAACTCTTTGAACAGTATAAGGTCTAGTCGGTTTATTGTAAATTTCAGTTTGGCCTCACGGAAGAGTTTTAAATATGCATTCATTTGTTCTTTTATAATTCGTTTCAAGGTTGTTGAGAGGGTGATTGCACATCAAGTTTCCCGCGAGAAGGGCGAAGAGGATGGTGTTGAATATTACGTTAAATGGTCGGGTTTGCCGTATTCTGAATGTACTTGGGAGGATTCACATCTAATTGCTCGACGCTACAAAGACAAAATCGATGCTTATTACCAACGTTATAATAGTTCAAAGATTCCTAACAAGAGTTGCTCTGTAGGTCTTTCTGGACTTCTTTAGCTCCTAGGGTAGTGGATTTGTTTCTTCGTTTCGTAACTTGAATGAATCTTTTCATCAGCGTTATTGATAGGTTTATTTTTGTGATTCAGGCTCTTAAAAAACGCCCGAAATTTAAGAAGTTAGAGGATGTTTCTTTTTTGCTGAGACCAGGTGACAGCGATCACGAACTAAGAGATTATCAGTTAGAAGGAGTCAACTGGATGCTTCATGCATGGTCGAAGTAATTGTTTGAGATTTTCATTAGAAGGTAAATTTGTTCTGTCATTTACAACCTGCTTGAAAAGTACTCTCTAAAAATTTAGAGGAAATAGTGTTATATTAGCAGACGAAATGGGTTTGGGGAAAACGATTCAAGGAATTGCTTTTTTATCAGCTTTATTCCACATTCATGATGTTTACGGACCATTTTTGGTAGTTGTTCCTTTGAGTACAATGGCAGCCTGGCAGCGAGAGTTTGAAAATTGGGCTTATGATTTAAATGTTGTTACTTACATGGGCGACGGGACTAGTCGTGATTATGTAAATTTTTATCTTTTTTCAATTAATTCTGATTACTCAGCTTTTAAGGTTTGTTTTCTATTCATTTCTTGAGAATTTTGAAGGAAAAGATGACATTTAAGGTTTAATTTCAGATTCGGCAGTATGAAATGTTTGTGGCGGGGACGAAACGCTTAAAGGTTAATGCTGTATTGACCACTTACGAAATCTTATTAAAGGATAAGGTTAAATTTTGCTTATTTTGTTTATAACTTTTTTACTTACATTTTTTTTTTACTGGTTAGTTTTCACTAACGGGACGGTAAAACGTCAGCCTTTTTTAAAAGTTGAATATAATTCTGCTAACCGCCGCGGCCAAAAACGACGTCTTTCTTAATGCCGTTTGTACTTTGTCGTTTTTAGATTTTTTTGGGAGCGTACGACTGGGCAGTTTTGGCAGTTGATGAAGCGCATCGTTTGAAAAATGATGAATCTTTGTTATATCGCTGTCTGTTTGATTTTTCCACCAACTTTCGGCTTTTGATCACCGGTACCCCACTGCAAAATTCCCTTAAAGAACTGTGGGCTTTGCTGCATTTTATCATGCCTTTAAGGTACTACCTTTTTTAATTTGGTTAGTCATTATATCAACCATATAGTTTTGATAGCCTTCTTTCAATGAGTCCCTCTGGAACTCGTGTTTTACTGAATGCTGGATACGTCGATCATGGTTTTAATATTTATAATTGCTATTCATTTCTTTTATTCAATGCATTTTCATTTTTTACTCCTAATTCTGATATGATTTCTTTCATTCTTGTCTGCTAAGATTGTATTGGAATTGTCAAATTTTTCGAAAATACATTTTATTTTTTCTTTTATTAACTTGAATGGTGACTCTCTATCTCCTAGTTTTACTATTTGAGTTTAGATTTGAGTCTTGGACTGATTTTGAAAAAGACCACCACGATTCTGATCATAAAGCAATAGCTTCACTTCACAGAAAACTAGAGCCGTTTTTGTTGAGGAGAGTAAAAAAAGACGTGGAGAAATCTTTACCAGCAAAAGTATGTTTTTTTTTTTCGTTTTTTGGCTTGAGCTTTTGTTTTCTGAATCTTTAGTGATCGGGGTTCTGCATTAAATCGTGCATAGATATAGTTTTCAGCCTTCTATGTGAATAGTGAAGTTGAGCCCTCATTGCACTTTTCATTCTTTTAATGCTTTTTGATTTTTAGGTTGAACAAATATTGAGGGTTGACATGACTGCACAGCAGAAGCAGTATTATAAATGGATACTCACAAAAAACTATAAAGAGCTCTCAAAGGGTGTCAAAGGTTCGATCAATGGGTTTGTTAATTTGATAATGGAGCTCAAGAAATGTTGCAATCATGCTTCACTTGTTCGTCCTTACGACTCTTTCGAACAGGGAGCGTCAGCGAGGCTTCAGGTTTGAAAATTTGTTTTTTTTAAAAAGTATAGGGGTGAACACTTGGAAATGATGTTTTAGCAATTGCTGAAGTCATCTGGTAAACTGATCTTGCTTGACAAATTGTTGTGCCGTCTCCATGAGACAGGGCATCGCGTCTTAATATTTTCACAGATGGTAATGATGCTGGACATTATCCAAGAGTATTTGCAGCTACGGAGGTTCCCCTCTCAGGTGGTGCTCTGGTCCTTTTTTTTACGTTGCTTTTATTTTTACAACTATTTAGCGCTTGTGAGAAGTATGTCTTTTTTTACCATTAGATAATTAGATAAAGCTTTTAAACCTTTACAGATTCTTTCTATTGTTGAATCTTAACTGAATTCTGTATTTCTTAAGCGTTTGGATGGGTCAATGCGAGCCGATCTGCGTAAAGCTGCTTTAGACCACTTTAATGCTGACAGTTCTTCTGATTTTTGTTTCTTATTGTCTACTCGAGCTGGCGGTCTTGGAATTAATTTAGCTACAGCGGATACTGTGATTATATTTGATTCTGATTGGAACCCTCAAAATGATCTTCAGGCGATGAGCCGAGCTCACCGAATAGGACAGAAAAAACAGGCAGAGTTTTTGGCCTATGATAAATCTAAAAAATAAAAAGAATTTTGATTAACTATTGTTACTGCGGGATAGGAATGCAAATCTAGAACGTTACTGTTTTGGTGAGATGTTCAAGGCAAGTTTTTTTGCTGTTATTGAGGTGGAAGTTTTGTTTCACGGCGTAAATTTCCTAAAGACTCTAAAATTTGTTTATGTCTTTTTTTTGGGACCGTTATGCTACTTATAGGGAATTGAACTGGCGTAATAGACTTTTTAAGTGTAACTTTCCCGGTTTTCTTTGTGCGACCACTGAGTAGGTGTATTGTTGCCGAAATTAATTGGCATCCAGGGGACTAGCTCGAATGCTGTATTTGTCTTGACTGATTCTTGAGAAATCTTTACTTTTTATATGTTTTTTCATTCATTTGACCGTATGCCAAATTGTTGCACTAGTGTGAGTTAAAAAGATTGGTCGGGGAGAATGGCGGTATTCATTGGGAAGGGAGCAAAAAGTGTACCTTGAGTACTGGTGAGTGAAATAAATTCTGTTTTAGACGTGTTGCCTATGATGTTGAACTTTTTGAGGTAGTTATTTGAATTATTGGATTTAAAGAGTTCTATTAGTCTAGTAGTACAATAAATGAAAAATTTATTTTTCACATCTATAGCATATACAGGATTTGTATCTAGTCAGTTCCGCGTAGTGATTTAAGTAACATTAAGTTATCTTAATTATTCAATTTAACTTTGATTGCAGGTCAATATTTACCGACTGGTAACAAAAGCATCTGTTGAGGAGGAAATAGTTGAAAGAGCGAAACGTAAATTAGTTCTCGATCACTTAGTCATTCAGGTAACTTAATGAAAGACGGCACGTTATTTTTATTGTAGCTTTTTTGTGTTCTCTGGAGCTGTGCGGCTAAAGTTCTTCACATTGACTATTGCTGCGTTTGATAGTTTATTTTCTGTACGGTAAAGTTAATCATCTTTGCATGTTAAAGCGTATGGACACAACTGGCAGGACAGTCTTGTCGAAAAGTAACTCCGCAAACGGGTCAGTGCCATTTGAAAAACACGAGTTAAATGCAATCTTGAAATTCGGGGCAGAGGAACTTTTTAAAGAGAAGGAGGGAGAAGAACAGGAGCCTGAAGTTGATATTGACAACATCTTGCAAGGAGCCGAAACTCGAGAGTGCGATCAAATGGTGACTTACAATTTGACACCGTCAGTGCTTTTGTTCCTACAGTTTCTTTTCATAAGTTTTGCAGGATACGGGAAGCGAGCTTTTGAACGCGTTCAAGTACGCTAATTTTGCCATAGATGAGGAAAAAGACGTTACTTTCTTCAACAAGGAAAGCGAAGTTAAGGAGGAAAATGATAAGAATTGGGAGGAGATCATTCCTGAGGAGGAAAGAAGGAAATTTGAGGAGGAGGAACGAGAGAAAGCTGAAAAAGATTTGTTTTTGGGTCCACGCAGCAGAAACAAAGTAATTTTTCTTATCTCCTGTTGGTACTGGTTTGGTTTCTACTAATCTGTTTCAGAAGTAACTGCGAAATTCTTCGCAGTTTTCTGATTCTTCTTCTTTTTTGCTAGTTAAATGGCGAGGCAGTGTGAATGTAACATTAGTTTCTTTAGCTTGATTAAGTCGATTTGTCATAGTTTTAAACATATATGGCACGCAAAGCGTGGTTTCCCCCGGTTATCTTCCTCGTAGAATGGAGTAGGAACAGGGTAGGGTTGATGTTCACCGGATCTGCTATATGAGAACCTTATTTTTTTAAGTAGGACAATAGGGGCTGTTTTTGATGTTTTGTCCATTCATTTATAGATTTTTGGTTTTTTTTTTAAGGATTTAGTTGTGTTTTTTTATTGTTTTTTAGCAAGTAAATGAGATCTTGATTTAGGTACCTCATGCCGCTGTTGATGCTGGGGACAGTGACGATGAAGGCAGCAGCAAAAAGCGTGGGCGAGGCGGTAAAGAAACTGACAGTGATGAGGATGAGAGTGATGAGGAACGTCGGAAACGAAACAAGAGAAGAGGAATTTTTGGTTTCACAGACGCTGAAATAAGAAAATTTGTCAAAAGTTTTCGCAAATTTGCAGCACCGTTAACGAGGTCTGGTTTGCCACTTGATTCCGTAGCCTGTTGGTTCTTATGAGTTTTTTTTTCAATTAAGGAAATATAATTTTCTGAAACAAATACACAAGAATAACAGTGTTTATGAAAAATTTTGAGCCTCTACTTTGTCGTTAAAGTCGGCTCTTTGAATAAGCAGAATTAAATTTAAGATTAGAAGCAATTGCTCAGGATGCTGAGTTGGAGGAGCACAGCAAAAATGAGTTGGAACAGTTAGGAAAAGAATTGCTTGAAGGCTGTCAGAAGGCTCAATTAGAGTTTGAGAAGTCAGTAAAAGAATCTGAAAAAAAAATTCCTGAAGATGGCCGGAAGAAACACGTTAGTTTCACGTTTCTTGATTATTTCAAAATAAATTGATAAGCAGTTCTGGAATAGTATTTTTAATATGACCATTTTTTGCACATATTTCATTTTTCTAATTCTGAGTCGTTATAAAACTCTCAACTGAATTTCTCGAAGAACAATTTCAGCAGTTACTTCTATCTGCTTTATTTTGCTGTTCTTGCTCTTTTTCTTGGGTAGTTTTTCTTACAGTATTGCTTAGACGCTGCTGAAGATTGTCAACTTTGTTCAGGATCGAGGTCCGGTCTTCAAATTAGGAGGTATTGATGTGTATGTCCGACCTTTGTTGAAAATGCATGCTGACTTAGAACCATTGAACGAGCTTATTGAAAAATATGGTGAAAAGAATTTGAAAGTTCCTGGTCATCCAAAACTACAGAAAGGTTGGGATGTCGTTTGGGAATTAGAGGACGATTTAGCTCTTCTCAGAGGCATTTACCGTTATGGGCTCGGAAGTTGGGAAGCTATCAAAATGGATCCTGATTACGGTCTTGTTGATAAAGTTAGCTGATTTTAAAGTTACCGGTTTGTTAACAACGTTTGAGATTTCCTTTG